TTCTCGTATATATAAAATAATATTTTGGGTCTCACCGCCTGGCCGCTGGCGCCTCTAGCTTTGCCGAAAAGTTCTGAAATCGCCGAGGTTTAGAGAGCCGTTGGGCACCCGTAGGAGGGATTTTAGAAAAGAGCCTGAAAAATTAAGGCGCCCCCACGCGAAATCATCGCAAATAATCGCGTCATTATATTGAGATATAATACTAATCCAATATAATATCGAAAATATTTATATAGATATTATCTCAAAATCAATTTAGAATATGAAATGAAAATATTCATCTCGATAATTAACGTCCGTCGAATACTCGATTAATTATATTTCTCAATGAAGATCTATTTTTTCAAATTCTGATTTAGTCATCGGAAGAAAAACGAATTATCAAAAACAAATGAATACATTTTAGAAATGGCCCGATTTACCTGCAACAGCGGAAAATATTTCCTTGAAGAATTATATAATGAGAAATCCGATGACCGCATAATATATAAGAACATATATGAAATCCGATGAATTATCAATATTTTAAGAGCGTACATGGCATATAGATTCTGAAAGATCTTATATCTCCGGCCCGGGACTTCATATTCTATTGAGCCGTCGCAAAGACAACCAAAGAGAGAGAAATATTTCGAAATCTTAGGATATTTTTGGTCACGCAGCCCTTTGATCGCACCGCTCCTGCATGCAGCCCGGTCTTGCTGCCTCATTTATCTCTCTTAGATTATCTGCGCGGCGGCTTGGGGGAGCGCATGAATCTCCATAAATAGATACGGTCAATCTATTTCTGCAAGATTTTGCCTCTCCGTCCCGGGTCTACGCGCTCCTCCGAACAGCCGCGCCGATAATCGCAGAAATAAATCACGCGGAATATATCAGATCGCTTATAAATCCTGACGAACAATCCATTTACAAGATCGCACATCACCAACAACGACCAACCTAGTAGATTCTTCAAGATTTTGGATCTCCGCCCCGGGTCTGCACCGAGCCGCCGCGCAGACAACCGAAGAGAGAGAAATGATTTGAAATCTCGGGAGATTTCGGGTCGCGCCGCCCCCATATCCAACCCGATCTTTCTTCCTCATTTATCTCTCTTGGGCTATCTCCGGGATGATTCGGGAGAGCGCATAAATCCCCATAGATAGATGCGCTCGCCCTATGAATTCTAAAAGATTTTGATTCTCCGTCCCAAAAATCTCGAAAATCTTAGAATCTCTAAATTTTCTGAAGGGCTGCAAAATCTCCGAGATTTTAGAGCCTCTAGGGAATCCGCAGGAGATATTTTAAAAATGAGTCGGAAAATCTAGGCCGCGCGCGAACGAAATAACCGCAAATGGTCGTGCCGTAATATTGAGATATTTTAAACGAAAATAAATAGAAACTCGTATCATTATTAATATCCTCTTGATCATCTTGTCGACAAATCAAATAATTGAATGATTGAAAAATATCATCCCTATTTTTCGAATATATAATGAACAGATCGGATGAATGAATTTAAGAAGAATCAGAATTCAATAAATAAATAGATTAAGAGATCCTTTAAATCTTTCATAGAATATTAGATTGAATAAAGGATAGAGGAATAGATCGATAAACTGATAGAACGATCGATATCGATAGATCGATAGATCATTAAGAAAATATTTAGAGATAGATTGATATCAAAATCTATGTCCACGACCAAATCATCGCGCAGATAATAGAGAAAAAAATATTTGATTCGAGAAAAGATATTCCTATATAAGAAATGAAATATTTCCGAGAAGATTAGAGGCGAGAATGCTATAGAATACGTCGTATCAATGATATTTAAAAAAATCATTAGAAAAGAACGTGCAATATTTTGGCCGTCTTGCTTTCCCTCTTAGTGCGCCCATAATAATGAGACGTTTTAATTGACGAAATCAATAGAAGGCAATATCTAAGGAATTCGTCATTGAAAAGATTGAGATTTGATCATTGAGCCCTGCAAAATATTACGGATTTTCATATTAAAGGGATATGGTGCCAGTAGCCTTATAGAAATATTACGGGCATTAGGCAATATAAATATAGTTAGGCAATATATTCTATATATTAAAGATATTCTGAGCTTATTCTTGACCCAAAGAAATTTTGCCTTTGAGCGACGCTAGAAGAATACGTTGAGATTATTATCAAGAATATTCTTCAATAAGATACGACAAATATATTCTATGATCAATAACTATAAGGATATTTTGAAATCGATATTAAAATGATATTTCTAGAGTATTGCAAAGATTTCTAGATAAGAGAATATTTAATAATTGAGCATTCTAGGAATATTTTTCGACTAAATATTATATTTAATAATTCGTCTCCATAAGTATATTCATTTAGCGGCAAATATTGAAATATGTAAGATTATAATTGAGAAGATCCTTGATTAGATATTATAAGGATATCCGATATTCTACGGTCGGGCTCTGCTAAAATATTCTACGATTTGGGATTGCAAATATATTCTCCGATTAAGCATATACCGTATAAGTACTACAGAGATTTTCTGCGTTTGAATTATAGTCATACACCGTGCGGAAGGCAAAAATAATATAAATTTCAGAATCTCATAACCCCTCTACGAGGGTCAAGAATGAGGCGGAAAGAGTGAGGAGAAAGAATCCAATAATATTCAAGATTTTTATCCCAGGCCTCCAGCATCAAAAATCCGCGAGATTTAGCCCCTCTAGTTTTCCGAGAAACCGTAAAATATCAAGAAATTTGGGGTCCCTAGGCCTAGGAGCCCAAGAGATATTTCCAAAGAGAGCCGGAAGAACCAGGCCCCGATTTTTTTGATAAATTCTTCTAAAAGCCATATTTTCCAAATATCATACTATTTTATATTATTTTTATATATTATATAATTCTCAAGCCTTTCCTGTCATTCTCTAGATATTCGGGATTCCGACGAAATCAACAGTAACAAGATATCAATTACAAAAATCGAATGTTGGGCATCTGCGTCATTCCTGCATTCATGCCTTTTTTGGAAAGCTTTGGATGGTTTTACGCGGCGATCGTGTCCTCTGCAAATTATTACAAATTGATTAAAAGAATGTCAAAAGGGGTCCAGCAGAGCTGACATACGGAATATACTTGCATACTCAAGGACCAGCAGAAACTTACAAGATGGGAATAAAACCCACCAGGTTGACGTGAGCCATAGTCCAAACTCGTACCATTCCCCTTAATAACTCCTATAGCAGTCGCCTCCATAATCTCCTTCAAGGAGTTTTAGACCCGAAATCCTAACCTGATATAACCCCCTTTAAGGAGTTTAGATTATAGCTCACATCAGAGATCAGTGGCAAAGAGCTCGGGAGTCTCGCCATGGTTGGGACAACGATGCCGCTTCAGTCGGTGCTTGTCTTTGAACACCTGGCAGGGGGAATCTGAAGCTTACCCAAAATTAGCGTTTAGGGTTCGGGGGCGACAGGGTCTAACTACGACCAAACGGGAGAAAATACAACCACACGGGGGAAAACACAACTGAACCGCTGTTGTGGACTCTCCCAAACAGGAGAAATTACAACTGGCTATTCCGGTGCCTTTAAAAGTTTGGACATGCTCTGCAGAAACCCATGGCACAGCCTTAAGGTTCCGTTACCAAAGCTGGATAATGGTAGTTGTGATTCGTCCCTTCTCTTTGCGCCCTAGCACGAATGAGGACATAACATGTTTATGTGATTATTTCGGTTTGTATGCTTTCGCTCATGTGGGCGCGACAGGCATGTAGGCATTACTTAACATGCACCCATCTGGTTGTATTTCCCCCATCTGAGCCCATTTCTAAAAATTTCAATTGTATTTTGGCCCATCTGGTTGTATTTACAGCCATCTAGTTGTATTTCGACTTATTCTCGGGTTCGGGGTTCAGGGCTTAGGGTTAAGGGGTTTCCCAAAATGAGGTGTACCTACTATAATGGAGAATCAAATGGAAAAGGAAATGGAAAATGAAGTGGAAGCTGGGATATAGGGGTTCATAGGGGTTAGGGTTTCCCAAAATTAGGGGTACCTGTTTGGGGTTCCTATAAATAGGACTCTGATAGTTTGGAGCCTAATTTGGGGTCCCCCTATTTTTGGAAACTACTAAGTCGATTAGGCCCCAAACCTAAAGGGAAAGAGCAGCGCTGTCATTGCTGGCAGACGTGTTGATAACAAAAATCACGAATTAGAGTAATGCCAGCAAGGGCTTCTACCTTGAAAGCCTGGGGGGCAATGATGACATTTTGTCGCGAGCACCTTTAGCTGACGGCCTCTTCGTGTCTTAGAAGAGATGCCTAAACCCTAAACCCTAAACCGCGTGCGGCCTTAATTCATGGGGAGGTGGTTGAGCTCCTCCACGGGATGCCCGAGGTTTGCGCAGTCTGAAGGAGACGCCACGCCCGCGGCTGGACCATTGGTCATAGCAGCGACCATGTCCTGATGAGGTCGGCATATAAGGAACCCAGGAAGCCCAAAACCCCTTAATTAAGGAATGTACCTCGAATCATATGACGCATCCTAGTATGGTTTAAGGTATATTTTTATATTCCTTAATTAAGGGGTGTTGGGCCCTCTGGGAATGGTCGGGTATTATATTGGGGTGACATGTGGAAATGGGAAACAAAATGGAAACTACCATATCATATAGGTGTTCTATACGGAGTATATAGGGGTTACGGCATATAAGGAATGTCTCAACAGGGAGAACATTGAGGGATTCACAAAGGAATGACATGAATGACATGAATGACGGGAATACCGGGCTTCCAAATTGCTATGGTACCCCTTCAGCATTGCACACCGAGGCTGTTCAACAAAAATGCCAACATCCACTACCTGACCATGACAACTAGAAGATTACAGCTAACAACTTCGACGGGGCTTGGGCGGCTCTCATTGTCGGCCAAAAGCATTGGGACTGGGCTTGCCAGGGCTCACAGATGAAGATCTATCAAGACCCGATGTGGGGTCGTACATACTCTTTTTTGCTACTCACATGGCAAAATATTCTGAGCAGTCATCCAAGCTACAAAAATATCGGCTGTGCACAAGGCCTTCTGTTCGGCAAGCACGGCACAGTCAGATACAGCAAGTGCTGTAAACTGGGAGATCCACGCGAAGGAGCTGATGATGTTCACTATATTAACAGCACAAGCCCTTGGGTCCGAGCAGGCGCTGGAAGCCGAGCGAATCTTGAGGATGGCTCGGACAATGTAGGAGGCGGAGTTCGTCACGTCCGCCATGCACTGTGTGATGTCGAATCCGCGATTGCGATTGGCTTCCTTGTGGATCTTGAGGATGGCATGATAATCAAGAGCTTGCCGCACAGGTGCCTGAACAGGCGCCTCGACTTTGCTCGACGCCGGCAAACAGTCGGTCTGGTCCACATCATTGAGCACGGAAAGGTCAAAGCCAAGATCCGAAGCTATGCCGCGAACTTTTTGCACCAAGGCCTCGTCACGCTGCTGCTGCCGGGTGAAAATCCAAAGGCCTGAGTCGTTGATGCCCGTGCCCGTTCTGCAGGCAGACTCTGTGGCAATTTTGGGGGGTCCACCGGAAATCAGGGCGTAGCCTTCCTCCTCGTTGTAAGCCAGGACCCAATAGGGACCTGCAAAAGCCGGAATCAGGAAACATGGGGCCACTTCCAGCCGTCCCTTGTCCTGGTCTACAATCCTCGCACACAAATTGCCACTGAATTCTGTAAATAGAGGCGTCACGGATTGGGCGGAGTTGAAGACCGAGACGTCATAACCCAGGGGATTGCTTTGCAGCTCATATTCGGCAAACACACAGCGGTTCCTTGGATGCTACAGAGCTAGAAACAAAAACTGAGATCAATTAGTCGCGATGATTCTCGACAAATCGTCTGTGCCTATGCAGGTTGGCTCGGACAGATCTAGAATTGATGGTAGGCGACAGCTTCCGAAAAGGGTTCTTGACAGGCTCTGGGTACCTCATGGAAATTTGGGATTGCTCCAACAGCCAAATCTGATGAGATCTTGCTAGTGCTCGCGAGGCTCCTGGATCTTGGCAGATAAAGGACCTCCATTTGCTGCTGCACGTTCCAACGTTTCGAAATGAAGCCCTCAAGGTCAAACTCGCTCACCTGCAAACACATTTTGGGGAGGATTGGCGTGTGCCAAACGCAGGG